GTCTCGTTAGGCAAGATCAAGACACCCGGGGCATTACTATATCCCGTCGGAGACGATCGGTGTACTGTCGAATTTGAATTCATACTCGAAAGTGGAACGGTATGGGAAGAAACTTTAGGAGTTTGTCTTCCGTCATCCGACTCACAAGTCGATATCTTTCTACCTGTTCTCCAATCTTCATCTAAATATCTATCAGTTCTGGAATAAGATATTTGCAATATAATTTAAGTTTTATATCTAAAAATATATCCAAATTTTTTAATAAATACCTGCGCCTGTGAAGCTCGTCAAAGTTTCTATAGCTGTTACCATAATTTCTGTCTTTACTCGATTCTCGGCTACGTTGAATGATATTACGTCTCCTGTGGTCGTATCGCCTACTACTACTACTACTACTATTATTACTGTTATTATTCTTTTGATTATTGTTGCAGTTATCATTTTCTCTGTTCTGTTGATTTTTTTGACGTTCACGGCTGTTACCTCTTCCTTTATCTCGACTACTGCCACTACAATAATTTAGAATATAATCTCGTTACACAAAGAATTCCTCAACATTTATGATCATTTTTTAAAAGATAAATGTAAATTAAAACAATTAAATCGCGCTTACCGATCGACATCACGATGTTTATCGCGTTTTTTTTTTTTACCTCGCCTACTTTCGCCTACAGCCTGACTTCGCAGCACACTTGTGCTTTCCCGTATGCTTAATACAGATGAACTACGACTCAAATGTTCCTGTTCTAACTTTTCATTTAATTCAACTTCTTCACTCCAATCCTAGTATAATTATATATATATTTATTATTCAATTCATTATTTTACAATTCATCAATCAATTTTACTTACAAATGTCTCAGATGTAGTATAAGATGATTTGTTACACGACTCGTTTTTCATGGAACTAAGATTCGTGTTTTGTTGATTATTCTGCTTGTCCATATTCGAATTGTATTCGTAGGCATTACTGATGATTGTTCTTTGCCTTAATTAATAACAGCTATGTCATCGAGTGCATACAAAAGTATAAATAAGGAGAAATGATTTTATAAATATTTAATTACATGTTACTAGTGCGATCGTCTATTGGTGATATTGCGCTTCTGCGATGATTCTCAGGTGATCTGTGACCTCTGTTCGAATTTGATTGCGAAGTTGCAGGCGATGAAGATAAAGGCGGAGGCATCATTATGCTATCGGCACGACTTAAGCTTTCCATACTTGTATACATAGTGCTATTGCTACCACGGCGATCATAAGATCTGTTATCCATGAATTTTGTAATATTCAGATGAAAGTTTCAACAAATAATGTTCATATGACTGTTTAAACGAAAAAACCAATATAATAATATATAATTGTACCGTATATTGTTTATGTATTCTTGGCTAGGAGTATGAGATCTGGAACTTGGAGCCGAATATTGGTCAGGTGTAACAGGCCTAAAAATACTACCGGCTGTATCAAATTCCTCGGGTCTAAGTCTACCTCTACCTCTGCTTCTCGTTGGAACGGTGTTAGTCCAATTAGATTGCGGGGATTGCAACGACCCAGATGGTGGCAGATTTTGCAATGTTTGTGAATGCTGCATAGATAATGGATAATTATAACCGGATAAACCCTGCTAAAATAGATATTATAATCCATATGTTACATTAATCATAAATCATTATACTAGAAACCAATATTCGCAAAGTATAAAAAAAATTAATCAACATTAAACAAATTTTTACCTGAAATGTAATGCTGCTACCATTCCAGGAGTCCTCTGTGGACGTACCTGGAGTGTTGCTAGGTAATGCATATCCATTATCAACGAGATACTTCTTTTGAAATCGTGGTGGCAAGAGATCTAACTTGATATTTTTCGATAAGGTGTCTTTTGGATTACGTCGACCTAACGGTGGCTTTCCTTGAAACTTATCCGAATGTCCAACAGGTTCTACACTGCGAGTGTCTCGCGTACGATTAAAATCATTCTGATTGGTCAAAGATAAAGGTTCCGAACCCTAATAATACGTAAAAAAATATTTTCCATAGTGAGTTATACACAGATTTTTATATTATAATCTTATAATCTGATTATCTTTATAAAATCTTATTATTTCAAATCACACAAACCTGTCTAACTTCACGTGAATTATCCTTTCGATTAGCACAGTTTTTAGCGGATACCGGCGATTCGGTTCGCCAATAACGTTCTTCATTCTCATTTGCATGACGATGTCGACGATTACCCGAATATCGTTTACTAGTGTCATCTCTACCTCTGCCTTCACTTTCATTGTCTCGCATGGTGTGACTACTAGCACGATTGCGATCGCTTTTGTGATTACGATTTGAATGTGAATCGCGATCGTTACTCTCTTCTCTCTCTCGTTCCCATGTAGTATGGCTGGGAGATCTAATAGAATTCGGTAGCTTATATTAAAATAATGTAATAAACATTACTAAAATAATATAATTGTCGCATTACTTTTCCTATATGAGCTTCTTAAATCAATGGAAAAAGTCATAATTACTTTACCTGTTGATTCCATCCTGTGCTTCTTTTACTTTTTTTGGTACATATAACAATTGTTCAGGTTTCCTATTTTTCTTTTTTGGATCGTTTCTACCTGCTCCTCTGCCAGAGTTGTTACCAGAGCTTTGTACTGATTCATTATTGTTGCTATTTCTATAGTTAATATGGGTATTGTCCAATTTTTTAGCTACATTATCGATTTGTGATAAAGGTGGACTATTTTGTGCCTGATTTGCTCTATTAGGTTGTGACTGTCTCGGATGATACTGGACGGAGGTTCTAAATTTTTCTTGTGAGCCATTTTCAGTACCATTATCATATTCGTCGACAGTGCTGTTAGATCTGTCCGACTTACGTAAAGGGCCACTCCCTGGTCTGTATAAGGCCTGAGGTGCTCTATTTCCTCCGCCACGCATCTCTACCAATCTTTCCTTCTCTAATTTAGGAGTCTTTAATTCTGAAAATTGTTATCACGATAATGTTCATTAAAAAATTCATGTTTGTTAATCAGTTTCTTCATTACATTCACACAAATGTTTTATTCAAATATTTTATATGTATAGTTATCATTTTATTAATCACGTATAAATTACTAAATTATTTCATAATTATATAATAATTTTAATACAGAAATATATATATAGATATATAAATTATATTTACACATACAATACATATGTATCATAATAATAGTTTCTCTTTTAATTGTACTTTTTCAATATTTATATAGTTTAATATAAAGACTGATCTGAACTGATAAAACTAATATTAAGTCAACATTCATGCATGTAATTTCTTATTTAGGTTCAGTTTCACAACTCATGATAATTCTTAATCAAAATTCAACTTATTTCTCATCTCTTTCCAATTCTAGAATTGGAAAAAGATAATGAATAAGTTGAATCTTGATTAAGAGATAACTGTAAATTGTAAAACTGGATTTTTGATATATCATTATACATAAAATAACTGCTACTATGACATCATTCTTTCTATAATACATTTGAAGAATTATTCAAATCATATTAATATATCCAGGAAACTAAAAAGATCAGACAATGTTAAGCTTGTTCTTTTTAGCTGACTTCCTATACATCGTTCCTCTGTTTCTTTCTACATTCCAGAGAAAAAGAAAAAAGATAAACTATATAAAAAGCTCAATACAGCTCAGCTAAAAAGAAAAAATCTAATGCATATTATACAGAATGTTTACATAAAGGTAGACAAAGAAAAATCCAACAAACTTATACAACCTAATGTGTCTCACTCGTAGCTCAAAAGTTTCACGTCTAAGATTTATTCCTCTTCGGATGCAACGATGTCAATAATCTCGTGGAACGAAATACTAATTTTTACGGAAGTATACAGAAATATACGGTTTATATACGTTGACACTCGACGACGCCGGAATTTATATTAAGGGGAACGTCTCTCTACGAATAAGAACAGCCCCAATCGGAAACAAAACGTAAATCAACAGCGCGGAATCTGATCCATCGATCGAGGCTCATTGCGATCGTTGGAATCAGTCGTCGCGTCGCTTAAACACCATAAAATAACGCGACATCGCAGTGTGCCCAGCTCTGCTTGTAGGTTAGCTACGTATAGTGAGGTTAATTTCGCACGTCAGGCCCGATCAAGTCGCACGGAAAGATCGTGAATCATGAGATTGTCCCGAAGTTGTGCACACGAGAATGCTAGCAACGGCGCGATATTGTTCAATCGCTCTCTATGCGAAATAATAATATTTTTGCCGAGGTACCTTGTGAAATTTCTTCCCTGCTTCTGCGTCCTTTGTTGCGGTCCGCCATGTTGAAATGCAATCGCGTGAAGTCAAAATTTTTCTACCGCAGCGACGTCCGCGAACGTGAAGAACCGAGATCGAGATGTCGTGCCGCCTATTTTCGTCAAGAAACAAACACATCACGCCACCTATATGCGTTTTCCTCTGCACGACAGTTAATTTATCAACTGTCAATAATGATATTATCGATGATATTAATTGTAGGTAAAATTTCACATTTACAGAGTACATTTCAAAATGTATATCTTTTTCCGAGGAAAACTTTACTCGAAATATTCAGTATACGTGACGTATACTATATTATATTGAGTAAAATTTTTTTTGGAGAAAACATTTTAGAATACAGTTTTAAAAATAAGCTAAAAAAAAATTAAATTTAATTAAATTAATTTTAATGTAAATATAATTCATTTTAACTTTAATTAATTTAATGTAATGTTTTGTTCTTTCTTTATACAAACGCCTTATCTAATTCTGTGAATTCTGTTTGACAGCATTTATTTATTATATTAATTACTTACACACAATTCACAATTGAGTTTAGTAGCATCCGTAATTATTAACTGATGTTATAAAACTGAGTTTAATTATCATTAGACATCACTATATAGTTTAATAACTACGGATGTTACTAAACAAAATTGATGATGACGTGTACATGCAGTTTAATGTAGTCTTGTGTAATCTCTTTAAACCTCAGGATTAAGGATCAAGAATTTAGCAAAATCGAATTAATGACTGCGCGTCTGACTTGGTCTGACTTATCAAACCAGCTCTTTGTGCCTACTAGCCTAGTGCGCGTGACAAAGAGATTAACGAATACTTCGAGAACATTCGAACGTTCAAATCTTTCTTCCCGTACTTATCTTGGCGCAATGTCGAAATTCATGGATTCGCGCATTGCATCGCTTCGATGTTCGCGGATTTTAGCATCCGCTCGTCTGGTTGAACGTTGTCTGGACGTGGTGGCCGAGACGGGATTTCGGGGAAGGTAGGCAAATACGTGGAACATGTACAAAGCACGTTAACCGCCAATCATCGGTTCAGCGTTTACAGTTCGGCAGGTGGAATCGGTGGAATCTCGGAGCTGACAGTCAGTATCGTCCACGTCAGTCCACTCTAACCGGCGTTATGGAGCGCGAAAGAAGGGAATTGGAATTCTCCGATTGTGGAATGACGGAGAATACGGAGCAGACGAATCATCCTTGGAATGCTTTGACGACCATAACCACGTTTGACCAGGGTATACACATAT